TGAAAGCGAAAGTCAAACATGGCACTGGGCAGCAGGGCCGAGCCTGCTCTTCCCTGGTTTTCACTTCCGTTTTCAGAGGGTTGGCTTTTCTCGGCCATCGTGTCCTTGGGTGGCTGCAAAGGGGCTTGTCGTCCCCTCCCTCAGCTATGGCACCCTTTAATTTTGCCTTTCCTTCTGCTGCTCTCCAGCTGGCAAGGGTCTCCATGCTGCCACTCAGGCCGGGACGCTGACCCTGCAGAGCCAAGCGTCCCCCACCAAGCAGGGGGGCTACGGCAGAGTGAGACCCCCACCCTCCCAGCACACTCCCTCGGCCCTGAATGCGCCCATATCTCCCCAGGGTGTGTTGAGCCCTATTAACCTGAGCCTCTAAGTCATAAAATGAGTCAGGAATAAAGGCAGCAGCAGGCACTGAGTGCCTGGGGCGGGGGTTTGTGGGGATGAAGTGATGCAGAGCTGGGTGGGTGCCAGCACCCCCTGCCAGCGCCATTTGCATGGGCCAAGTCTGAGGGGTGGGTTTGAGGAGGGACCCTTGACCGGGACAGAGGGAGCTCCCAGCAGCCCAGGAGAAAGCTGCATGGGTGTGCAGCAGGTTAAACTGGGAAAAGCAACTGTTTGAAGTGCAGTCGGCAGCAAAAGCCCTGCTGAATTACCCCCACATTGCACAGTGCCATCTGGGACGGCTCTGCTCCTCAGCAGCATGCGGCTCTGCCAGCTTATCTCTGATCTTTAAGCAGGGCTAGCTAGTACTTGCTAGTGATTTAATAAAAATATGCTGTAGGCTGTGGTTTCTAGTAAGTAAACATGTGCCTTTAATACCCCACATGAAACCAAGAGCTGCCAAGGAAGTTGCTGCATCTGAAGTCAATCGACTTTTTCGGGGAGGAGCACTACTGAGGCTGCAGGAAGCTTTGGTGGTTCACTCTCCCGTGCTCCGGCGTTGCCCTTAGCCATGGTAGTGCCAGAGGGCCTCCCCACTGAGGGTCCAGTGTTTGGAGGGTCTTTTCCAATCATTCAATCTCCAGAGGATTTCTTTTGGATGCAGTCTAAGCCCCCCCCATGAAATGAGCCGGTGTGCGCTCGCTGTGAGCTGTTTGACTTGTGCACCCACGTGTGGTGTAACCTGGCCTTGAAGAGACTTTGAAAGTGGAAAATACCGGATCAGAAAATATGAGTCACTCCCGGGCTTTGGAATTTATTGATGGATTTGTTTCAATTGCAATGGGGGTATCTCCAACTCACACGTGCAAAGTAAACACAGTGCTCGGACTGGTGTCCCAAAATGTCACACGAAGAGACAAAAGGATGGCTCTGAATCAGGAGCAAGATTGCTCAGTGCAAGAGGTCTAATTAGAGAGATTAGAAGAATGGGCAGCAATTAAAGAAACCAGGCACTTAGGCCACTGTTTGTCCTGGGGACTGGCTCCAGTCCTCTTGGCACACTTCGAGTGCCTTTGTGTATCTGATCCCCAAACACTGACCCAAAATCCTGGGAGCTGGCTCTGTCTGAGCACACCCAGCCCATCTCACTGGTACTCTGCCCCTCTGCAGAAGCGGTGACTGAGATCATCACCGTGAGGCCCTTTTTATCTGCTTTCTGTCTTTTTTTTTCCTTCTCGAGTTTATATTTACCACTTTCCCCTACAACCGTGACGATGAGAAATTAATGAGTGCTGAGAGTCCTCAGCTGTCCCTGAGGGTAGGAGCTTGGACTTTTGGGGGACAAAATGGCAAAGGCTCGGGATGTGCTGTGTGCGAGCGCTGTGCTCCGATGGAGCTGGAAGCCAGCACCAGCAAAGTCCTGCACTGCTGCTGCTTCGCTATTTATTAACACGAGGTTCAGTCATCCCGGCTGGGGTCTGCAGCCCTGGGGCGGTGAGAGTGGTGTGCGCTGAACCGAAAGTGCCCCAGTGAGGCTGCAGCACCTTTGCCTCTCAGGAGGGGTTTTTCCTGTTCCCCCTGCAGTCTCTCTGCTGAAGCAGGCAGGAGTGAGGGGAGGGGGCTGGGAGCAGCCCTTTGGCTGTGCCTGTGATGGTAGCTGTGTCTCTGATGGTGGCTGTCCTGCCTTGGCAGATCTCTGTTTCGGGGGGCGGGCTGCCCCCGGTGAGCACCCTGACCAACATCCACAGCTTGTCCCACCACAACCCGCAGCAGTCCCAGAACCTCATCATGACGCCGCTCTCTGGAGTCATGGCCATTGCACAGAGTAAGTGCGTACTCCGAGCTCACCTCCACATCCTGCATGGACCACCCCCTCTCCTGCGACAGGGAGGGAAATGCCCTGCCTGCTCACCCCAGTGCTCATGTCCCCATTCTGCTCTCTCCCTCCTCCCAGGTCTGAACACCTCGCAGGCGCAGAGTGTACCTGTTATCAACAGCGTTGCCGGCAGCTTGGCAGCTCTACAGCCAGTCCAGTTCTCCCAGCAGCTCCACAGCCCGCACCAGCAGCCGCTGATGCAGCAGTCGCCCAGCCATATGACACAGCAGCCTTTTATGGCCACCGTGACTCAGCTGCAGAACTCGCACAGTAAGGGTCCAGGCAGTAGCTGCAAAGGGAAGGGTCCCTGAAATGAGTTCAGATAGAAAATAAGCTTTTGCTCTCTTCCTGCACTCTCCTGCCCAAGCTGGCACCCTTGGCTGCTGCCTTTCTCCCACGGGTGCCGGCTGGCACAGGAGTGTGAGTGGGACCCCATCCTTTCCTTCTGCCATGCTGCATCTCCAGTACTGCTCTGCTGCTTTCCCTTCTACCACCATTGTGTACAAACTTTTTTTTTTCCTTCTGTGTTCTTATTGCTAAAACATACTCTGGGGAAGAAGGTGGCCACGTCTCTTGTGCTGCTTGCAAAGCTTCCCCACTGTGCCCTGAAGGGACCCAGATTCATCCCTCGGGCTCATCCATCATCCTGGAGAGCTCTGGCATCTGGTCCAGCTGCAGTCCTTCAGTCCCTGCTGATTTCCCTGGACGAGCTGCTCCCCAAGAAAGCGGTGGCTTAGAGGGAGGTGGTGGTTTGCTTTATCCCATCATGTCTCTGTGACACTTGTTCCCACCCATGTCCTGCCGTAAAGCAGCGCTTGGCTACTCTGCCCTAGCGCAAGGGCTGTGGGTGGCTTTTCCGTGACAGCCACTTGTCTCCCTCCTCTCCGCAGTGTACTCGCACAAACAGGAGCCTCCCCAGTATTCCCACACCTCCCGCTTCCCCTCGGCGATGGTGGTGACGGATACCAGCAGCATCAGCACGCTGACCAATATGTCTTCCAGTAAGCAGGTAATGACTGGGCAGACATGGCGGAGGGTGCGCAGGGGTGGGTGTGTGGGGCTGTTTCTCCCCTGGAGATGTGGCTGGAGGAGGGCGCAGCAGAAACCCCATTGTGGACCTCTGTGGGCAGCTGAGGACGAACCCTCCAGTGCTGAAAACCCTATCCCAGGCCCTTCATGGGCTCCAAAAAACCTGCTTGCAGATGGCGCAACGGGGATTTGGGTGACGGTCCAGCTGTGCTGGACAACAAGGACGTGTCATGGTGGTGTCAGCTGGGCCATGCTCATCCCTGGGGCAACTTCATGGCCATGGGAGCATACTACTAGGGTTCTAACTGGCCTGAGGAGGTCAGGACCAAGCCAGCTCTGCTGCTTTTGTGCCAGGGGCAAATCGACCCTGGTTGGAGTCGAGTGGAGGAGCTGGGCTCCCAAAATTCCTCCAGCACAGTCCTTTATCATCTGCCAGGTGCCAGCGCAGGTGTGAGGCAGGACTTCTCCTGGGTCAGACCAGGCCTGTGAGGCCTTGCCCAGACAATAGTCCCTTTCTGGAAGCCAGCTCTGGGGTCTGTGGGAAATATGTGGCCCTTATTGATCGCTAGATAAATAAGAGAGAGCCTTGAACGTGCATTCAGATAAACTTTCTTACTGAGGTTTGACAGGGGAGAGGAAAAAAATGTCTGCAATGACCGCAGTGTAAATACGGCAGAGGGTTGCTGTGGGACCTCCTCGTGGATGCCCAGCGGGGGCTGAAGGAAGGAGCTGGGGCTGCAAAGGAGAGAAGAGGGGGTGCCCTGGCAGGGTTTGAGGTCCCCAGGAAGGGATGATGAACACCGCCACTCCCAGGCAAACTTGCTTTGTAGCGCTGTGAGTGACCATTTCTCTGCACTCGTGCACCTTGGAGCAGGAGGCAGTCAGGCGCAGCCATGCTCCTCAGCAGCGCCATTTCCTCCGCACGGCTTTATCAGCCCATCTGGTGCGCGCTCAGCCTGAACTGCCCCTGATTAATCATGCTCTCCCTCCACGGGCTGCCTTTGATGCTGGGCTGGCCCAAAGCAGCCCTGGGCACACAGGAAATATCCCTGGCAAGGAGATAGCACCTGGCCATCCCCACCGCTTGGCCAGGCTTTGCGATCAGCCTACCTTGACATGACGCTGCCTGAGGATCGCTCGATTTTCTCCCTCCATCACGCTTTTGCACTTTAATTAAAGCAGGAGGAGGTCTTGCGGCTCAGGAAGGGGGAGTTTGGGCTGGGCCCCCATGGCTACTGCAGTGGATGGGTGCAGAATGCTGAAGGGGCACGCACTCACCCTGTTAGCCCCCCGTACATGACAAACAAGCACAGGCTGGTCCTGCGCAGGATCTGGCCCATGTCCCCCTGCACAGAGACAGAGAGGCACTGGGGTCCTGTGTCCCCCAGTGCAACCCTCCAGCCCCCAGAGCTTCTTTTCCTACCAACGTTCAAGCTAAGGCTGGAAAAATGTATCTGTGAACGTTGATTTTTTTTTCAGTGGTTGCACCCACCCCAGCAAGGCGCAAATGAAGTGCTACAGGGGCATGGGAGCTGCGTAAATGCTGCTTACCCCCCCAGTGGTTCAAATGCCCCAATATTTTTGCACAGCCCATGTGAAACCACAAGCCTGAGGGAGGCATGTTGCTCGTGCTCCCTGAGCAACCCCCTCTTTGCAAGAGGAGAGATGTCCTTGTGCAAAGCAAAGGCCCGGTCATTCCCTGGCAGCTCTTCTGCACCCGCAGCCCTCAGGGTAGACCCTGCAAACCCCCACCATGACAGCCCTGCTGCTCCCAGTCCTGGCTTGAGGGACATCCCCAGGCCCCCCTAGGGCTGTCCCGTCACAGCCCGACACTGCAGGTCAATTATAAGATGTTGTTGTTTAGACCTGGAAGAGGCAAATACCTCCTGGTTCCTTTGACAAGGCTTAAGGCTGAGCCACCATTTTTTATTACGTTAGCAAACACCTGATAGGCGCAGCCTGTCCCTAATGACATGTCACGGGGGGCTCCTGGCGTCACCTTATCTCCCTGTTACGATGTTTGCTGTGCGCTAGCCCACAAGGTCATCTGCAGCTCTCGGCCTCCCACCCATCCAGTGACTGGGGGGACCCCGGGTGGGGGACCCACCCTGAGGGATGGAGAAGAGGCTGCTGTGGTGGGATGGATGCGGTGGCAGAGGCTGCTCGGCTCCTTTCCTGAGGTGGCAGCAATGCTGGGGGACAGTGATGAGTGTGGCCCCCAGCCCTGTTCCCACCTAAGCATGAGCTCCTGCACTTGGCCGCACGCTTGGCTGCTCTTGGCACAATCTCTGCCCTTTTTTATTATCATTATTATTTTTGGGAGAGGGTGGCAATATCTGACTCAGAAAGTATTTTCCCACTGCCTCCCCCTCAGGGGTGCTGGGGAGGGCTCGGGCCCAAGCAGGGCTTATGCGGCACCATCAAGGTGCCAGGGTGGTGTGGGAGGTGATGCCTCCAAATGCTTTGCAGTGCCCCTGGAGACCCCCCCATGGTGCTGCCTTCATTGCCTGCCTGCCCGCCGGTCACTGTGCTGCTCTCTCCCTCCCCAGTGTCCCCTGCAAGCCTGGTGATGCTCCACACCTCACTGCTTTTGCACATAGCAACGGGATCTGATTTTCCACAACATCCCACCGGTGGCCCGCACGCCGAGCCCGGGGAGTTGCCAGAGCGAAGCCCAGCGCCACAGCAAGGAGCCCAGCATCCCGAAATGTAGCCGGAGGCTCGAGACTCCCTGTCACCCTTCTGTGCCCCCACCGGGGACAAGCCTGGATCTGTGGGGTGCCGACCCAGGACCGTGTCTCTCCTTCCTTCCACGCAGTATTTCCAAGACGTGTCTTGGGGATTTTTTTTTCTGAAGTATTTGCCTTCCAAGAGGCCATTGGCTCTCCTGAGGAACAAGGAACAAGCTGTACTGGGAATGGGCAGAAGGGGAAGATGGATAATATTTAAGTTATACTCCTCCACCCGACGGACTGAGAGGGACTTGGGTCTGTTACTTGGCATTTGGAAGGAGGAATTGCATGTGCTGTTGAACTGAGCCAATTAAACTGTAAATATAGGTACAGTGTGCTCCATCCTCACCGTTCCCTACTCGTATACATAGAGATTTATATGAAAGAAGTAAATTTTGTCCAATGGATGTAAACTACTGTAATTAAGTGCAATTCCCCCATCTGTATATATTTTTCCCAAATCTCTTATCTTTCTCTTTCTTTTTCTCCCCTCTCCCCCCGGCCCTTTTTTTTTTTGTAAAGGTCAGAGCTGAGGATGGTTTTGGTTTTTTATTTCTCTTCTTCCTTTAAATGAGTTAATTCCTATGCAAGGACTCCAGTCAGGCAGCACCGGTCTCTGCTCTGCAGGAGAATGGGCAGACGCGTGCCCTCTGCACAGTGACTCCCATGTGAACAAAGGGCATGGGATGAGCTGAGCAGAGCCTCAGCAGGACCTGGATGATCCGTGTGGGGACAACTGCTGCTATGGAGACCACCTCAAGGGACTCATCTGCTCTTGGGGACTCTGGGATGGACTGGGGTGGGGTGAGGAAGCACTCAGCAGCCCAGTCGGCACATCCAGGCCAGTGGGAAGCATTCGGCATCGACAGTTTTGAGATGAGCCTGTAGCATTTGCTGCTACAGAGGTGAATGAGGCTGCAAGAAATTCTGGTGGGATCATCCTCAAATGGGGTTCAGAGGCTGCCTCCCTTTTCTCCCTTCTTTGGGGCATGGAAGGGACTGGGTGCCCAGTTACTGCCTTGTCTCCCACCCAGTAAACAGACAGTACAGGTGGCTTATTTTCCACTGTTACCTGGTTCATGATGAGCCTTGTTGGCTCCACTCTTATCAATAAACACAATGCTCCTGTCCTCATGGTGTCACCTCCAAGCTGCAGCTGGATGGACCGGCCCTGGGGTGGGACACGAACATGCTGGTCCAGCATCCCCACCTGCTTTGTCTCACTGGGCAGCAGCTCTTGGAGGAAAAGCTTCGAAGCAACATCTCCAGCTTGTGAGTGCACCCAGCTCTGCAGTGAGGGCACATCCCAGCTGGGCACCCGCTGAGGACACAGGGCCCCAAACCCTCCAGAGCCCTGAAGGGCTTTAGGTGCCCTTGTCCTGCCTCCCCAAGCTGCAGGAGCTGTAAAAGGCCTTGTCTCCCCTCCCACAAGACACGAGCTCCTCCATACCTACTCCTCTTTGTAAATGGATTTAATGCTCCTCAGCTGTGCAAATTTCCGGGGAACTTTGCAGCATGTGCTAACTGCTGAGAGTGGTTTAGAGAGGTGGAGAGCAGTAGAGGTGCCATGGACAGATGACCACTGCTAAAAAGAACAACACTGGATGCTTGCTTTGAGGCACGAAAGGCTCTTTTGCTCTGTCTGTACAATGTCTAGCGCAGTGGGATCCTAACCCTTGCTGGGACGAATAAGAGTTTGCCCTATGGTGAAAAAGTCATCACAAATTGGAGACCAATATTCAGAATGACATTTAATTTAATGTATACCATAATTAAACACCATTTCTTCTGACTCGCTATTGCCGTGTGGTCTGTAAATTCCCCAGTCCTCATCTGCCATGGTTTGGCAGACGTCGGTCCAGCAGGCAGGGACACAGGCTGGTGGCAGTGACGTGTCCCTTCTGCTGTCCCTTGCCATGCCCACCTAGGTTCCTACCTGCCTGAACATGGCGAGTCAAGTATTTCATGTGAAGCGCCAGGTATCAGCCAAAAATAGCAAGAGGCCATCGGAGGTTGGGAGACCCGTGTCCTCACCCTCCTAACAATGCACTAATGATGGTGCCCTGGCTCCACCAGGGTTTATTCCTCATCCTCCGCTAACTTTAGCAGCTGAGTGTTAAGCAAACCAATTAGGAGCTGAGTGCCAGACAAAGCCAAACCCCGTCCGTTTACCCGCAGGCTCAGTAAAGCACGACGGGGAGGTGGAAGATGTACAGTGGCTGCTGCAAAACTTTTGAAGAACTTTGGTTGTGAAGAGCTAATGCAGCTGAGCAACTCAGAGCACATTGGTAGGAAAGGGTGGCCTTTCTCAAGATGCAATGCAGGGCTTTGGTTTCAATCCCCTTCAAAAATGCCTGGTTTTGGTTTGGCACACATTTTTTTTTAATGTTAGGTGTGGGCCGCTGTGGGAAAGGCTTTCAGAGCAGGAATCTGGTGCTCACCTTCACAGCCAGAACAGGACACTCCAATAACCTTCCCACAGAGTTTTTTTGTTTCTGTGACTTTTAGCTACCCTAGACAAGAACTGGAAATACAAAGCTAGAAGAGGATGGGATGGGATAAAGACTTCTTAGTTACTTTAGTGCAGACTTGGAAGTGATGCTTTCTTGTAGCCAAATTTAGAGAGAAAAGATGCAGGCTTTATTCTGAGATTCCCTTTGCACCTTTCTGCTCAGCAAGTCCATTTCAACACACCTAAGTGCCAGGCTGAGCCGTTTTCAAATTCTGCTCCTAAATATTGCATTCCCACTGGTCAGGGTGGAAATGACTCAGATTCCTCTACTTACCCCAACTACGTTTTGCCCCATGGCTCATGAAGCTAAATGGGCTCAGCTTTCCCCAGCTGATGCATATCCAGCATCAGGTTGAATTGGGCAGAGGAGGAAGAGAAAGAAGCACTATATGACCTGCTGTTATATAGTGTATATATCTATCTGAGCTGTATCTGAGCTGGTGCTCTATGTGGGGCTGTACTATTCGGGTTTGATTTCTGCAGCAGCTTCAAGATAGGCACAGGATGTGAAGTCTGGGGGGTGACAACTGTGCATAAAGCAGGGTTTGGTGAGTGGTTTGGTACTGGTGCTGGTTTCTAGAAAGCCCTGCAGAGAAGGTAAGTGAGAACCTTGGGGAAAGCAGGTTGAGCTGCAATCCCACCAAAGAGGGACCTGGAGAGGGAAGGGGGGACCAAACAAAAAGAAACCTGGGAAAAAAAAGACATCTAAACAAAGATACCGCTGGAGAAGGTGACTATCACAGAGCAAAAAGCATGTGACAGAGCAGGTAAAGTCAATAATGTGAATAGAACCAATGATTAAGAACAGGCAGTATTTACCCAAGAGGTGTGAATTTATGGAGTTGCTAAACAGCTCATTGTGTGCTGTCACCCACCCCTGGATAGCAGGAGACAGGAAGGTAGAAATTGTTACTGGTTGCTAGAAGATGCTGCGAATGCTGCACATACCAATGTGTTCACGGGGAGAAAGGTTCCCCAGGTTTGCATTTAACCTCTGGCTGAGGAAATAGCCCAAAACCACTTCCCTGAGTGGCCTCTGCTGCAGCTGGGCTGGGGCTGTCCCTGCCCAGACCTCACCTTGCACAGGAGAAGCACTGGGTGGGGTGTTTGCTCCTGCAGATGCCCTGGTTCCCTCATTAAGCTGTTACAAAATACAATGTAATGCCAAGTGAGGCTCCGGGAAGACATTTTTTTTCCCCTTCTGTTGGGCACATGGTGTTTGCCTGTGATGCTGTTGTTATAGGATCACAGAATCACAAAGAAGTAGAAACATGCCAAAGTTCATTTATTACCAATACAGTTTTACAGGGCTGGTGATTATTTTACAATTTAAAGCTGTTCACAAGGGAATTCCTTGCACATGAGGATCTGCAGGCTGCCATGAGGTTTTATTGGTCACTATGTGCGTAACAAACTGCAGTTTCCCTCATGGCAGAGCACAGGCACATCGCTACACTTAATTTTAAATGCAGGTACTGCATTTAAGGGAAAAATCCCCAAATCCCAGCATTACTGAAGCCATGGGTAACACCCACAGTCAGGGCTGTATGCGATGCAGGGGCCTGCTCTCTCTCCAGGGAGACACTGCTCAAAGCTCACTATGTTTCAGTGCTCCTTCCCTGACTGGGATGTGTAGGTTGTGGGGCAGGGGAAGGGCATGGGGAAGCCCTGAGAGGTGCAGAGGTGGACGTGGGAGGCCTGGGCAGGAGTGTGACCTCTCTACCTCCAGAGGAGAGCACAGCTTGGTGACACTTGCCTGGACGGGTAAATCTGGTGTCCCAACCTCCTCCTGCTTGTGCTGCCACACCAGCGGTGCTGCTGGTGAAGTCAAAATCAGGTTAGTGCTGCCCTTGCTGCCTGGCCCAGAGCTGTGATAGGGATTTATGAGAGCATGAGCCCTGGGTGTGTGGCTCCTTGGCACTTATCACCCCCGTAATTGTGTGGAGGAACGGAGTCAGGGAAACCCTGACCAGGGCCGAACCCTCTGTGCCAGCTGTGGGTACAATCCCTGGTGCTGGGTTCCCCCCCAGGTGTGTGACAGCCACCTGGCAATGGCGCAGACCTCGCTGCCAGAGCAGTGCAGGGGCTGGGGCAGCACTGGGGCTCAGCAGCCATCCCCAGTGGTCCCAGTGCTGGCCAGGCTGTAGCCCTGCTGCAGCCAGTCCAGATCACATCCATCAGCACCAAGCATGCAGATCGCTAAGGAAGGCCCAGGTCATTCGTGCTCTCCTTGAAGGTGAAAGCCTCTCCAGGGATACCAATATCCAGACAAGCTATTTCAGCAACTTAAAAAATGTCATTTGGCGTGCATGTAAATGTAATGCACAGTTGCACGACAGCACCCGGCTCCAAACGTGCGGTCTTTCCAGACTTGTTCTGCCAGTCCAGCCAGATGGCTGGATCTGCTGGAAATTTCAGCAGGGAAACCAG